TTCCAGACCTGAAGGGCAGCTAGGGGCCATAGTCTCAGTGGTTACACCAGGCTCTATTGGACCAGCAAACCTAAAGATAATTCTTTTGAATTCCTTATCAGAGAATTCCAATGCTGCTTCTTCCTCAGGGATGTGTTCTGGATCTATATCCTGCTTCCTTGTTTTTACCACTTTATCCTGCTTCTTTGTGTGGACTGTGATGGTCTGTTGTTTCCGAGGCATCGTGGCATTGTATTTAGATCTCTGTTAACTTGTCAGTCTTGCAGGTCCCGAGTGTCCTTGGGGTTGCTGGAAAGCAGAACGTGTTCTTAATCCCCAGCAATCTGGGAGAGCGCTGTCTCTTTAAATATCCAAAATAGTCAAGCTGCTTTTTAAACCTTCAAAATGGTGGCGCCCTCCGGACCCGCAAAAGTCCACAGCTCAGCCCACCTTTCTCTTCACCTTCTCTGTTTGTTCCCCAGCGACTGTGCATAGTCCTCCATGCAGTCCCTGGCTAGCAGGATGATTTTTAGGTTAATTCTTAGGTCCTAACACCACTCAGGAATCTCCAAGCTGTCTGTGCCATCAGGATTGCTCAGGATCGCTGCCAGACCGCAGCTCCGTCTGACTCCTTTTTTGGTATTTTCATGCAAATTCTTCTGCTAGTTGGGGTTTAGTCCACTTCTATATCCTTCCCTTCAAGGCTCAGGGGTCCAGAATTATTTTATGTGTCTGTGTTAATTGTTTTCCCTTTTCTTTGTTGAAGAGGATCTGTGCAGTTTTTCTGCCTAGTCTGCCATCTTGCTGGCCACTCTAGAATTCTCACGCTAAATTTTTACTGCACATTGGTTTCCTTTTCTTTTATGTTTTTCCAATTCAGACTGAGCCCACTTACCTTTATTGTGGTTTTTATATTTTTTCTTTTTTATCCTCTTCCTACTGCCCTTCTTAAATTTGCATTGGAGTTGGAGTGTCAAATATATTTTTCCTATTTCTACTTTTTCTGTATTTATATTACAATTGTTTATATTATGGCTGGGCTTTTTGCTTTATTCAGCTAAAGCCTTCACTCTCTAAAATGAAAGCAAAATGGACTAATGGATTTCACAGTCAGGATGGCCAGTTCACTGGAGAACACTGAAATCCTAAAAGCCAAACTTGAGCAGAATATATTCTAAACTTTCTACACTGCTGGTTCTCGGCTTTGTCTATTCATTAGGCTCGCTTGACAGACTTAAAAAATACCAGTACCTGGGCCACACCATGGACCAGTATTATATTAACTTCTTTGGAGTTGGTGCCCAGGCATTCAAATTTCTGTAAAAGTTCTGCAGATGATTCTAATGTGCAGCCAGATTTTAGAACCACTGCTCTCCACCATTGCCTCTTTTCGTTGAGAGTGGAGAGCTTAGTAGTTGACTCTTATTTTTAAATCCCAGAATTTCACCTGGCATAATTATAAACATGAAAGGAACCAGCTTACACTGGTCTGTATTCCTTCTTAGTTTTCTGGGATGAGAGGAGAGGAAGTTGTATCTTTGGAGGCTTAATTTGCTATGGTTCTAATGTAGTGCTTTTCAATTTTTTTCTTTTTTTAAAGCAGCAGACTTACTTTTATTTTAATGGGAACTGAAGTAACCACAATATATAAAACAAATAAAAGCAGAGCTGCTGTGATGATGGATATAAGGCTTATAAGCCTGGCCTGTATAACCTCTCCTTGGCTTTTTCATTGGCCACTGAGGCACTTCCTTTGAGCACCAGGGCTCTAAGGAGTCAGAAATGTCAGTGTTTTTTAGGACCAGCACTACCTGGGTGGACTAATGGTTCAGTGAGCTTAATTTCTCTCATACAACCTGTTGTCCCTCCCTCCCGCTGCCTCCCAGATGAGGTACAGGCCATTGCCACCCTAATTGAGAAGCAGGCACAGATTGTGGTGAAGCCCAGGATGGTTTCGGAAGAGGAGAAGCAGAGAAAAGCTGCCCTCCTGGCGCAGTATGCTGATGTCACAGATGAAGAGGAATATCCTTCCTGGAGGCTTAGCACCATTCCTTGAGGCTCAAGGCAGAAGAATATGCTAACTCTTGTTGGCTCATATTGAGCTTTGGGAAGTTGTCAGTTTCCCTCTGTAGCTTAATTCTTCCCTTTAAATGGCAGTGATATGGTCCTTTGTGGGTGTGAGGAATGATGTTGGAATAGTTGATATTGTACGTTTTCAACATAAAATTAGTACATTCCTGATAATTTTAGTGTAAAGCAAATGATACCTTAATAATGAATCTTTTATATTGAGTTTTTGGAAAACAAGATACAGCTGTGATTTTATATATTTGTATAAGTTCAGTGTCACACATATAATCTATGTTTATTCTTTCCAGTAGGTAAGGAAAGTGAGGTACAAAGAAATGAATGGGAGAGCAGAGGCATTCAGAGAATTAGTGGCAAAACAAGACTAGAATCTGGATACTTCTGGATGACGTTTTCCCTAAATTTGGAGAAGTTTCATTTTGAATTTTTTTTTATGTTCCAGTGATCAGATAATTAAAAGTGAGGCTGATACCCCAAGCAACACCAGAATAAATCAGGAATTTGAACAGGGACTATGGAAAAAGAAAAAGTGTTGCTAACAGAAGCAGGCTTGGTTCCCTGTGAACTTGAAATTTGCTTAGGAAATGCTTGGCTTACTGCCTGCTTAAATGGAGTATATGACATCTTTTTCCTAGTTTTTCCTTATGACTTTTCTTGCCAGAGTTGGCAGAGCTATGGTTCCAGTTACAAAATCTCATTCCTTTGTTTAGAAGATAACTAATTTTAAAGCAGTGGTTTGCCTGGAAGGCTTGTTAAAAAACAGACTGCTGGGCCTCACCACCAGAGCTGCTGATTCAGTAGGTCTGGGGTGGGGCCAGAGAACCTGCATTTCTAATTAGTTCCCAGGTGGTTCTGAGAACCATCATACATTGAGAACCACTGTCATCTTGCCATCCTCCAACTTCAGGGTAATGTGACACTTTACCCAGACCAGCTTAAGTTTCTTTTTGGTTTCTGAGATCTAGGATCTTAGGTAAATAAGGATCTTTGAACAATCTACCCTAAGTTGAGACTTTGCAAGATGAATCTCCTGGGTTTACCACCACATCCTTGACAGTACCTTCCTTCCATTTGATGTGCCTTTCCTACCTACCAGTCTCCTGAATGTTTTCTAATGTTGAGTTGGAATATGCTAACCCATGTCTTCCATCCGACTTTCCTTAACGTTATTCACTGAAGCCGATAAGGATGATTCAGGTGCCACCACAGTGAACATTGGTTCTGACAAATGTATCCTTCTCTGTGTCCACCCCCTTGTGTTTCTCCATAGAATTTTTTTGTAGGTTAGTTTTGCCTTGCTGTCATTGCTGGAAGCTCTCATTACCTCCAGAAGTTTATGTCGTACCAGCATTGGGAGGCCCATTCCTAGGACAAACCTAGATAGTCTTTAGCAAAAACTTTCCTCAAAGAACACGTTAACATGTACTGTGAAGGGATTAGCTTGGAGGAAAGATTTCTAAGGGAAAATAAGAATCTGTACTCCCTGTGTATAGCACTGATTGTCCTACATTGTGTGAGCAATTAAAACAGTAGTGAAGTCTTGGTCTTTGTCCTCAGAGACTTTATAATTTGTTGGAAAGGTAACACAAACAACTTTCAACAGGCTAACCAGTATGTACATATTGAAACGTATGTACTGAGGAAGGTCCCTCCCAACAGAGTCACTTACTAGCTTTCTACAGAACGCAGGTTTAGAGATCTGCCATGCACCTTCTTAAAGATGAGGAGTGTGATGGATTATCAGAGAAAGGGGAGGTTATTTCAGGGAGACTTATTTATTATAAAAGCAAAACAAAAACCACCACCAGAAAAAAGTCATGTTTTAAGAATACTTTGACTAATACAAACATTATTTTTAGATACAAAAAATGAGAGGTAATGTGTTTTACTTGATGTTTTCCAACTATAGTTAAACTTACTATTTCATATTTCTTATAAATTCAGAGTTTATGGCGATTAGAACATGGTTTTCATTTAAACTTTAGAGGTCAAGAGAAAATAAAAGCTTAGTAAGGTTAAACAACTTAAGTCTTTTAAGCACTTTAATATTGCCAAGTACATTAACACTTTGCCAGTTAACATTTAATATTCACCAAAACTAGCCTAGCTTTTCCATCAGTACTCTGCCATTGAATTATATAAGTACTTGTGCTAGAATGAAATTTCATTTTGATAAAATATTTTAAAATTCAGAGTTAGCTAAATCTGAATGAGATTTTCATTAAGAGGGACATTTTTCACTTTTGTACTGGTCGCTTTAGGATTTTGCATCAGGCCAAAGATAAATACTTTCTAAGACTTGGAATAAGTGGAGTGCATTCAGGACCCAGCATGTGGAGTAAGGACAGCCAGAAGGAATAAATCAGTGGTTGTGACCTTAATCCCTTAACTCACCTGTAGTTCTGTTCCGAAACACCAATGTGGAAGATGTCCTCAATGCCCGAAAACTGGAGCGAGACTCGCTTCGGGATGAGTCCCAAAGGAAGAAGGAACAAGAAAAGTTGCAGAGGGAGAAGGACAAACTAGCCAAGCAGGAGCGCAAGGAAAAGGAAAAGAAAAGGACACAGAAAGGGGAGCGAAAGCGGTAACCTTGGCCCACTCTCTTTTCTCCCACGAACTTGGTCAAAGGTAGAAGTGATTGTACAAATTGTATTTAAGAGAAATGAGAACATGGCAAAGTGGTTTCCCAAGGCATTTCCCCTTTTGTTTACATGGTCAAAAGGAAAATCACAAGCACAAATACAAAATGTGCCATGTCTCTGTAGTGTAGGTTGTCAGATTATTGTAGTTGATGTCTTTACCAAAGATCTGGTCTGGGGGCAACTTCTGTTTTTTAATATTCAAGTCCTGTGCTCCTTTTGGCCACTTTAAAGTCTTCCCTCACCTTGGATAAACAGCAGGAGGATTCAGAAAGCTAACAGTTACAGTTTTCACCCTGAAGGAACAGAAACGTCACCATTCCTTCCCAGAGATGAAATCTAAGAATGCAGATTGTTTCCAAGGCAATATTTAGTCCTAAAGGTAATACTGTTTTATGGATGAAATAGAAAGCTAATGAAGAACTCAACCTGGATCCAAATTTTATGTTACATGACAGCAAACAAGAAGAATGGGAAGAAATTATTTGGGGGGTGGTGTTTTAGATTTGAAGGTTTTTTTTTTTTTTTTTTTTAAGTTTCATACTATGGGTGGAAAAGAAGTATCTTTATAAATAGAAATAGATATTGTTCCTTTAAGAAGGATATGCCCTTACTGGTGCAAGAATATCATCATTAACAAGATTTTTGAAAAATCATGAGTCCTCTTAAATGCTGACAGAGATCTTAATCTAATTTGCCCTAAAAGTTATGAGTATAAAGACCTCTGATAATTTCTCATTTAGAGAAACTGGAGAAATCACCCTTTTAAAGAAGAAACACTGGAAATCTCTGCTTGCTAACACAGATACTTAATAGTGTACATAGTAGGTGTTCAACACATTTATCCAATGAATGAATGAATGCAAAACTGCTTGGGAAAGTCAAAAGTTAGCAGGTGTTCTCCATTCTTAAGTTTGTCATAAGCCACATGTCAAGTTGTAAATAAGGCCTTTGTCTACTTCCAGGCAACACTGTCAAGAAACTTGAAGAATGCAGTTTCACTGATGAGGCAGAAAGTAGATATTTTATACCTGCTATTGCCTGCTTGTCAAATTTGGCCTGGCATGTTTTGTATGGTATAAGTGAATGATGTACATTTTTAAAGGGTTATTAAAGAAAAAAAAAAAAAAGACTGTGAAAGAAACCATGTGGCCCACAAAACCTAAACTATCTGACTCTTTACATAAAAAGTTTGCCAACCTCTGTTTTATACCATTGACTATGAAATTAACAAAAAATTTTACCATTGTGTAGAAGGTAAAAAGATGCATGGTAAGGAAAAGATGTCTTCCCGCTCCATACACGCCTATAACCGTGGCATTGTAAAAACTAAAAACAAACAAAAACAACACCTTTTTTAAAAAATAAACTTTATTTAAATCACTGTCTTATGATTTATATGATTCCTTCTAGCTATCCATGGAAATGAATTCTGTATGGATATTCATTTGGGAATGTGTTGAGCTATTATTCAAACTAATGTTGACAGAAAAAGCTCACAGATTTTGAGGAAGGTTATCCACTTAATAAATGCTAATAAACCCTTTTAAAATATTCAGTATCGCAAAGGGCACATTTTAAACAAACTTATTTTCTATGAAAGGAGTCCTGGTGGCACAGTGGTTGACTATTCAAGTATGCCAAATTCTTTTGGATTAGAAATGGTGGGAACATCAGTTTGATCAGTTTCACTGCAAATATTGTATGATAGATAATTTTATGGTCTGCAAAGGCTGTGATTCAGATGTACAATATATAAGAATTTTTCATTAGAGGATATATAACAAATAAGGACAACCAACTAATTCAAGAGTTATCTACTGGGTAATGTGATTTAGATGAACATTTTAAAGAATTTTTTGTGTTTGCTTTTTTAATTGACTGGTGTTTTCATTTCTGACCACTGTCATGGAAAGACTTCCTTAAAAGTTTTTATTTTGGTATCACTGGATAAGAGCAGAGCAAAAATTTCATCTTTGAAAGAGGTCAGGTCAGATCAAGGATTCTTAAATAGCATTGCTTTCAATCTACCAACATTACTACTTCTATATTAATAATGAAATTTAAAACTTAGCACCAGTTCTTAACAGTTAAATGAAATTTGATTGGTTTTCTGACATGAGTTACTCTTTTAAAACGTTAAAAAAAAAAAAACAACTAAATATTTTCAACAAAGTAGTTTATTTTTTACCTGACAGACTAAATTCAGTACAATACTTGTTTTCACAACATCCAACATGTTTTACGTCAAACTTAACCACTTTCTATGCAGTGACTGGTGGGGTGATCTGTTTTATTTGGCTACCCTCCTCAGTGTAATTCATTTGGGTAGTTCTAAGGCATATCAGTGATCAAATGTTTTTCCCTACAGTTACTCCTGCATTCTCTGCATTCTCAATCAGCTTCTTCGCACATCATCTAAAGAAAATTTATGTGGTGTGATTACACTTTTTTAACTTTTTTTTTTAAATACCAGGATTTCTAAAACTAGGAAAAACACCAACATTTAAAACATTAGTGTTCCCAGTCAAGGATAGTGCAATTAAATTTCATCAGTACATTCATTATATTATAGTTCAACTCATGCTAGAATTGTTAAAACCCAAGATCTTCTGAGTCACATAATATCAACATTTCATATTAATGAATAAATTATTCAAGTTCCATACAAAGATACTAAGTGATGAGAAACTGGAAAGGCCAAGCTTTCAAGAGCTTTTTTTAAAAAAACAAAACAAAACAAAAAAAAAACAAGCAAACTAATAAACACAACTACACAAAATATACACTAACCAAGTACAAACTAAACTAGTTAAAGATTAACCTTAAAAAAATACATTTTAGAACTTCCTGATACCCTCATAAAAGCCAGCAAACTAAGGGTATTAAAACAATAGTCATTATTTTAGATACATTGCATCGAGTCTAAAAGATCCAGATAAAGGAAATATTTTGATTAAATATTTTAAAATTGGAAATATTTAATAATTGATAGTATAATTACATTTTAAAGAATATTCACAAATGATTTGAACAGGTTTTATATTCAATAACTTGCATGGTTTTACACTGGCATTTTCATCACTAATTTAGGAGAATCAGATGCATTTCCCTCCATGTATTTAGGCACTAAGATTCCAAATTTATAAATATGGTAGTGTTTTAAATATTAAATTTTTACATGAATATTGAGTTTATCCTTGTCTCCCTTTGTCTCCTAGGTATTATTCCAGTTTTGTAAGGAAAACACTTTTATATCACAATCAAACTTGTCTTGGTTATATTACTAGACTGTAGCCATAATTGGGTTACAGTCACTTAGATTCATTATTTGGAATTATACTTACTAAGACAGACCTAAATGAAACTTATCTCCTAGAAGAATTTAACATGCATTTACCTGCACTGCAGAATGGGTTTAAGCAATATATTAGCTGTTAGGAAATATTTAATTTATTTAAACTTATCTTTGACTACTCAGAACTTCTAGAGTAGTCAATTTTACCTTTGAGTTCACTTTTAAACTATATCTGATTCATTCAAAATAGAAGATTTTTAAATAGAAGTTAGACTTCATTAAGGTATTAACTTTAAATCTGAAGGAAAATTACTGAAATTTTCAAGTTTGACAAGTTCATTAAAATTAGCATGTCTTGATACATTTACTTAATCAGCTTTTATTCTTCTTTCAGCTGGCATTTCCTTAATGTTTGTTTGTTTCACCTCTCTGGTTCAGTGAATTGCTACTATTTATGCTTTCATGGACTTTATTTTCACAATTTACTATATCTTGTAAAGCTTTTTCCACATCTGCTTGACCAGCTGTACTGACTGTTTTGGGCAAGGTCATCTGCAGGGCACACCATAGGGTAGTACGGGCTTTCTGAGTAGCCACACACATCTCTTTAATTGCTGAAGCAAGAGCAAAAACATCTGTAAAAGAAATGTTCAGGGTCAGTTCATATTAGATAACATTAAGATTATCTTAACTTCTTTTTAAAAAATTATATATTTTAAATTTTATTGTGGTAAAACACATAAACATTTGCATTTTAACCTTTTTAAAATGTACAATTCAGTGACATTTATTGCATTCGCCATGTTGTACAACCATCACCATCACCCATTCCCAAATATTTTTCATCGCCCTCAACAGAAACTCAATCTAGCCCCTGGTAAACACTAATCAACTTTTCTCGCTATGCATTTACCTATTCTAGGCATTTCATATAAGTGAGATCATACAATATTTGTCATTTTGTGTCTGATTTATTTTACTCAGAACAATGTCTACGAGAACCCCCTTAATTCTTATGTGCTGTTGTTAATAAATTGATCAAACATTATTAAAGAAAGATGGCTATTGATTGAGCAAGTCAAAATACTTAAAAGTTTGGTACTTTATTTCTTACTTATATGACAGACTTGCTTTAAATAGAATACTAACTTTGTCTTAAGAGAGAGTTATAATAGACAAAATTAACGAAATAAAGTACTTTTGGAATAAATGATAATTTACAAACTTATTCTTTATATAAGTGTAAATTTTAGAAATCCAACCTTTTAACCTCAAAATCTGATTTTACTAATAGGCATTATTGCATTGCCTTAGCAAAAGAGGAGCTCTGGTAGCACAGTGCCTAAGGCATCTGACTGCTAAACAGCAGGTTGGTGTTCAAACCCACCAGCCACTCCATGGAAGCAACACTGGGCGATCTACTTCTGTAAAGATTTACAGCCTTGGAAACCCAACAGGGGTCACTATGAGTCAGAATCAACTCGATAGCAGTGGGTTTGGTTTTGGGGTTAGCAAAAGAATATGCATTAATATTTGTACCTCTGTCATCTTGGCACCTAGGAACTCCTTGCCTTTGCCGATTTGAAGCATTTACAATTTCATCCTTTCTACGTGACTGTACGATGTGAATGGACTCCAAGTGTCTATCAAGAGCAGTAGAGATATTAGCATGAAGGGGAGAGCTTCGAAGACGTTCCATTTTGCCTAATAAAGTCACAACCTAAGGGAAATATTTTAAATTTTGTTAAGGCATGTAACCACATTGCCATTAACATAAGTAACAAATCTTCAATGAAGCAGAATAGAGAGCAGTAACATTGATTAAATAACTATTTGAATCCTTATTGTGTCTTAGACACCATGCAGGGAGAAGTAAAGATGGAAAGTCAGTCTTTTATATCTGTATGCATCAATTCTAAAATCTTTCAGGATGTTCATTTTGAGAATAAGCCAACAATGAAAAAGTCAAACATTCCTGTGCCATTAATAGAAAGTACAAATATAATATTCAATATTATTATGGCAAGTAAGAAAATAGCCTGAAAATAGAACATTAAAGGAAAAAAAAATGAGAAACTGTACATTAATTAATCCTGACCTCAGAAAGTCCTTAATCTTTCTGGGTCTCCAATGTTCCCATTTTGGAAATCAGAGATACTCAGAAAATAATACAGACTAATGGAAGATTTAAGGAATCCATAATCCAGATAGTGATTTATATTTATACTGGAATAATACAAAATAAATGCCATCACTGTTAAAATTGCTAAGGAAGTCCCTTAACTGTTTGGAGTTAAGCTAAAAATATATATATAAATAAAAAGACATTGAGTATATACCCTTTCCTCACATAGAGACATGGTTAGGTTCCAAAGACCAGGTTGTTACATGACAATCGTCATCATGCAAAAATGGAGAATGGCTATGACATCACTTAATTTCCAAACCACTGAGAATTGTAGTCCAGCCAAGTTGACACATAACCTTAACCATTATAGCCAGTGTTATTCTCGCCTCACACCTTGGCATTTCTTACCACCAGACATATATGCAAAATAGTCAAATCATAGGTTTTTAATATTATAAATGTGAAAGTCAGATAATGATACAGTTGATAAGTGAGTAGGTATGTTTGATCAGTAGGGGGAATTTGTTTCATAGTTTTATAAGCTTGACATGTTTCAAATTCTAAACTCGGTGTCTAAAAAGAATTTTTCAAATAATTAGGATGTTGAACATCAAGTGAATACAATAATTGCCTTTAGAAGATAAATCATGTAACAATTCACATTAGAATTTGGTATTTAGCAACTGGAGAGCACTAAAACACTCAGTTAAGCTAAAGGCATCTGAATGAATGCCTCTCTAACCTTATACTCACATCAAATTTCTTTGGAATAAGTTCTGCTTATAGAGAAAATAAAGGGGCTCTGGTGGCAATATGGTTAAAACACTGGGCTGCTAACCAAAAGCTTGGCAGTTCAAATCCATCAACCACTCCATGGGAGAAAAAGTAGGCAATCTGCTTCTTTAAAGATTTACAGCTTTGAAATTAAAAACAACAACAAAAAAAAGATTTACAGCCTTGGAAACCCTCTGTGGCAGTTCTACTCTGTCCTAACAGGGTTGCTGAGTCAGAATCAATTGGATGGCAGTGGATTTGGGGTTTGGAATGGAGAATATAAAAGTACAGGTATTATTTTCTTCCCAACTGTATACCAAATCCTTGGGGAAGACAAAAGAAAAGCACCACATGCAAAAAGCCACAGTGAACTACTAATTATGTATTTTTAAAAATAAGATGAAATCACTTCAAATAAATGATAGATGTTAAGGGAAGTAATTTGCTGAGTGTTTTTTTTTTTTTTTTAAATTAGGATTTGGGTGAAGATTTACAGAGTAAATTCACTTTTCATACAGCAGTTCACATATACTTTGTCTCATGTCATTGACCAAAATTTATAATGCAGCAGCTCCCCTTCCACTTCCTCCCCATAGTTACCTCCTCCCAGTGTCCATCCCTTCATACTCTTCTGCACCCTGAGCTATCTTCCTGTGCATAAGCAGCCCTTCCTTCTCCCATGATTGTTCTCTCCAGGGCGTGTGTCTACTTGAGGTAAATGTTTAACTCACATGCCTGTACTTTGTTTGGCTGGAAACCACAGTTGTGGGTTCAATTCCAGACCTGAAGCTGAATTATGGCAGCTAGGGGCCATAATTGCTGAGTGGTTTTTAATAACATTTTTAAAGTTTTTTTTTTTTTGCAGAATTCTGTAAAACTAACCAAACCGAAAACCAAACCCACTGCCACTGAGTCAATTCTGACTCATAGCAACCCTATAGGACAGAGTAGAACTGCCCCATAGGGTTTCCACGGCTGTACATCTTTGCAGAAGAAGATAGCCTCATTTTTCTCCCATGGAGTGGGTGCTGGGTTTGAACTGCTTACCTTTTGGTTAGCACCTGAATGCTTTAACCACTATGCCAACAGAGCTCCTTTCTGAAAATAGCACATCCAAAAATATTTTTTACCTGTTGTGTATTATTGAAATAATGTGCTATGTATAGTTAAAGTAAATTATAATAGAGCTATTAACAAGCTTCTAAATTAATGCAAAAGCTAAGCATAGCTGGAAAAGGTATATTTCTTAATATCTACAGTTTTTGAAACTTTTATATATTGCCAGGAATGTATTACTGAGGTAAGGAATTCTAACTTCAAACAATTTTAAGAAAAAAATGAAAACGATGTTCATTAACATACATCTGTGTGTAACCCATGTCAGTATTTGAACATTTTATGTTCAAGCCCAGTGCGGTTGAGTGGATTCAGACTCACAGCAACCTGATAGGACAGAGTAGAACTGCCCTATAGGGTTTCCAAAGCTGTAATCTTTATAGGAGCAGACCACCACATCTTTCTCCTGCAGAGCAACTGGTGGGTTCGAACCACTGACCTTTAAGTTAAAAAGTTAGCAGCCAAGTGCTTAACCACAGCACCACCATGGCTCCTTATATTTGAATATACCATGGATAAATTCCATTTGTAGATTTACTGTTTTGATAAAAGAATTTCAACTGACAAGGCTGAAAGCTAGGTAAAATCTTTTTCCACTGAAATAGTTCATATCTGTATTTTCGAGACAGGGTGGTAACAAGAAACTGATGTTTAATAAGATAAACTATTATTTTGCTTTTTCTAATTCCTAAAATGGCTTTTATTCAGTTGTAGAAATAATCTGTTTAGGTGAATGCTTTTCCCTTGGAATTTTTATAAAATTTTATTTGGGAAAATAGTATAAGGTTTTTAAAAATAAAAGTAAAAAAATTAAAAAGTCTACCTCCTCTATTAAAATTGCTTATAAAATTCAGAAATTAAAAAGATAATAGAAATAATTATTTGTTAAATTATAAAATGACAACAGGATTCTTTGCAACATTTGATTTGAAGCAATATACAGTAAAACCTACGAAAGCCAGAATCTGTGTAAGGTGGAAACCTGTCAGAGAAGAAAGCTCAAATGTTCTCCACTAATAGAGAGTGACAGCAAAGTGGTAAGGCTGCACCCTGTCAAAGGTGGAGAACTTGCAAGACCTGAAAAAACAAGGCAGCCCATTGAGTTCTGACTTTCAGTATTTTTCCAAAACAAAACTATTTTGTAAAGTTATGTACATCTACATAATCCAGTTTATCACTCTTTAATACATTGCTGGATAAGCTTAATACTTACTGAATGGTTTAAGAGTGCAAGCTTAAGAAAATGAAATACAGTAATTCCCTGTTCATTTACCACCTTGTATAACTCAAAGCCATTTGCTTATCAAGCTAGAAAACATGTTTGTGCCTAAGAAATGGAACTTTCCCTAAAGTATTATTTAAAATGGTTTTTGCTTTAAAAAAAATTATTTTGAGCATTAGTCAATTGCCAATTTGGGTTTGGAAGGAGCCATTTAAATATCTAAAGGTAGTTTTTATATGATTAGGACTGTTTTCCCTTTTCTAAATATATGACCATATGTATATAACCATAGTCCTAGGACCAAACGTGAAGACTATATTTCAAAGAATTACATGTAAATGTGATTTTAAAATCCTATAGAGCTATAATTTGCTAAGTGTTTAAGAATTTTATCAAGCAGTCTAAAAATCCACTATTGGATGTTTTTACAACTTACTCTGGCTTGTTCTCGAAGTTCGTCCACAATTAAGCGATCAACTCTAGATGGATTGGAGGTCAGCCTTGGAAATGGAGTACTGTTAATACTGGATATTTTTTTCCCTGGGTAATTCTTGGCAAGGGCTAATTCAGTCTGTAAAAAATTATAAAATTTTTAGATGATGAATTTTCTAAATATGCTTCAACAGTGAATAATATTTCCCACTGACCTAAGAAATAAGATGAAAAACACTGCTTAAAAAATTGTTTTGGTGTCAAAAAGGCAACATATACAAACCACAGTACCACAGTATTGTTCTGTCATGCTTCATGCATATAAATATGCACTTGAACAGTCTGACAATTCTAAAAAAATTCAAAGAAATAAAACTGTAACCTATTAAGGTAAAAAGTCTACTTCATAGGGAAAATAAATAGAACATAACAATTTTTAAGAATCTCAAGATTTTAGTTTTTGTCACCTAGTTAACACCTTATAGTCACAGACTTAATGAACACTGCACGTTACAGAATTCAGCTTAGAAATGAGGCAAGTATTAATACTACTACTATAACTCATAGCAACCCTGTAAGGACAGAGTAGAACTGTCCCATGGGGTTTCCAACAATGTAAATTTTTACAGAAGCAGACTGCCACATCTTTCTCTCTTTTGTTTAGCAGCTGTGCTCTTTAACTATTTATTTGTACCACTAGGGATAGATATAATGAAGATAGGAAGAGGAACATACTGAAGTATTCCTAAATGGATAGCTTTTGGTTACCTTCTTTCTCTCCTTCTCTAATGCTCTCCACTGTTCATAGCACTCTTCTAGACGAATATGAAGTTCACTAGCTGGTCCACTACGGGTTTTAATTGGTCTTTGAAATCCAAAAGTTGGCACGAAACCAGAAAAGGAATTATCACCATACATCATATCATTAAAATAAGGGTATAAATGGCTTAAGTCATCAAAAGAAAACAAATCATAGGAATCCAATAGTGGAATAACAGAATGGCCAAATGGGTGGGTAGATCTTAGGGGAAAGCCATTGGAACCAAGTTGTTGAAAACTCTGATTATGCCTTATATCTCCCATCATATAATTATTAGAAAAGCATGATGCCTGTGTGCGAGTCACACGGCTATTAATATTGCTGTCTCCACTTCCCTGTCTGTGGCTATTAAAGTGACCCTGTGACTCCAACAGATCTTGGTATGTATTTTGAGATAAGCCATCTAAATGTTTTGGACCTTCCTCAGGATCATAATGTCCACTCTGAGGCTTAGCTTGAAAATTATGTTTGTTCACATTTTCAATGATCCCATATTGCTGAGGTGAGTAACTATCACAAAATCCATTTGGCTGCTTTATTTTTTTATCAGTAACCAATTCAAAGAAATTTTCTTCTCCAGTCTTTGTCAGTCCTTCCAAGTGACTGACAGATTGAATTCTTTCTGCACCATTGTAACTAAAATCAAAACTAGAAAATCCTGAAGAGTTTTCTTGGCAATACTTTTGAAATAAATTGCTATTTGGGGTTAAGTTTGTGGATGATATTTGGGGAAAATCTGAATGGTTAGAACCTTTTGCAGCAGCACTTAAATGACTATTTAATTTCATCAAGGTACCTTGATTTCGATAAGGAATAGGAGTATTATTTTTTGTTTGAACATTCATCCAAGTTGGTCTGCTTAAGTTGATGCTTCCTGAAGATGTTGCTGCATTTGATAACAAATTCACTGATTTAAAATACTCAGAACTTGAGGGATCAGGTTTAGCAAACTGCTGCTTTTCTGTGACATTAGCAAAATCATTATTAGCTGGACAAGCTGTATGAGGTTTCAGTCCATATTCTGATTTTAAGCCAAAATCAGCAGTGAATGCTGCTTCCTTTGCAAACTGTTTTTCTGTCTGATGTGATGTAGTTTTGGGAAATGTGAAATTCTGCTGGTCCGGTATTGCCTCCTCCATTTTTTTCTGATTTGCTGGTTTAACTTGAAATAACTTTGTGTAGGTATCTGCTTCTACCGATGGTGTTTCAGGTGTGCCATTGGCTAATTTTTTACTGTCTTGGACATTAAAATTAGAACATTTATTAAGCTTAGCTTTATTAGGATGAGCATATTCTGGGTATCTACAGTAATCTACATTTTCGTTGTATCTATTAAATTGGGAAAGAAACATTTCTGCCCTTTTTTGTTGTAATGGAGCTTCAAGACCTTTAGCACATATTTTTTCTCTCCCATAAGGGTAAGTATCAACTCCAGACTCTTTCATGATGTCAGACAGACCAGTTCGTGGTGTAAAACAATTTTTGATAAATGGATATTCTTGGAATGTTGATTTAGCTGTATCACTTGTCTGGATATTGTAATAGTTAGAGTGATCACTTCGTGAGGGGTACATCCATTGTTCTTCAAGGTCTAAGCCAGTAAATCCATGATAAAGTTCATCTATTTTTTGTTGTGGTGTGAGATTACTATTATGTAGATACTGCTTTTCCACAGCTGACACAGATTCACCACTATAAAAAGCTTGTTGAGAGATGGTATCTAGTGGCCTTTTTGTTTCTGTTAAGAGCTCATGGTGATCTGTAAATCCGCTTGTGTTCACTGGCCAAACTGACTTTAAATTGGAGGAGCAGGTCCTAGAACAAGTAAATATATTCAATTACAACTTAAGTTTTAAAGACTTTTTCTCCTCAGTGGAGAAGGTAGGAAAGGCTTTTTAAAACATTTATCTTTCCCCACATCATCATTTTCTAATCCTTTCAAATTTTGTCTGATAAGTTGCCATTAGCTCCAAATAATTCTCTGTCACTTGAAATTGTATTGTATGCTATATAAATATGCATTTTAATTTAATATGCCTTCACTGTACTTTCCCAAGAGGCATTAATGAAGGCTTAACACTGGTAACTGCATGGTCTTAAGATGAATTGTTCATCTATAGTAAGCAGAGAACAAAATAAGTTTTTTTTCTGATTAGGTTATTATATAATAGAAAATGTGAATCAACCATAATTTTTTTTTTTTTCATGAAAAAAGATGTGTTCTGCTTAAACTGTTTTTTAAATGAAAAGATGTTAATTGGTCACATGTGTGTTACATACTTCCCTGTTTATGAAATAGGGTATTTGGGTAGTATGGCTTTCATACCCAAATAAAACAATTGAAGCATATTTAAAAATTGTTATCACATTAATAAAATCCATATGTATTTCTGCATAGCAGTAATGATACTTTTATTCTTTGAAATTATGTATAAAAGCTCTTTGGAATTTACACTGTTTAAGTCAAACTTTAACTCATGAGCTTAAGGGAAATACCTCTGAATTAAGCAAGAATACGTTTCCAAATGAAAATTCTTAATAATGACTAAAACTTTTAGATTGAAACTTCCAATTATATCGAAAGTATTTCAGCAAAATTAAGACCCCTAGGAAGGAAGGTTGGGCAATCCTACTTCCGTAGTGATACTGCCTCGGCAACCCAAGGAGGGGTCGCTATGAGTCGGGGCTGACTCGACGGCACGTAACAACAACAACAACAACAACAAGAAACAAATATCTGAATTCATATGTCTACTGCCAGATGATCCTCTATTAAGTAAAAATAAAAGCTAATTAATAATAGAAACAGACTACAGAATGGTAGTTGCCAGCGAGTAGGGGTAAGGAGTAACTGCTTAATGGGTATGGGGTTTCCTTTCAGGGAGATGAAATGTTTTAGAACAAGTTGGAGGTGATAGCTACACAACACTGTGAATGCCACTTAATTGTTTACTTGAAAATTGTTATTTTTATGTTATATGAATTTTACTTCCAGTGTTTAAAAAGTTAATAATTAGGGTAATGTAGTATATGTGAATTTAAAAGCTTACTGTATTCTATATAACTTATATAATATACTAACCCCTCAGCAAAATATGGCTGTGACTTATCTTGTTCTTCCAAAATGTTAGATACAAGTCCATATAAGTCTGTTTCACTGCCATAGTCATTTCTTTCAGTTTGAATCCTGAAAATAAATGAATACCAACTATAAATTATTTTATTCATATTGAAATACAATATATTGATTTCTATTTCCAGACTCATTCTACCATATTTGGTCTGAATCTGTATCATTATTTCAAATAAAGAAGGGATATGAGATCTGTAAGATCTCAAGAATATTTTCCACTTTGGCATGGTGTCTATCCTATATAAATATTCCCCTTTTGTTTCAAATCATATTCTAGTTCACAATGTATGCCTACCTCTTATTTCTCTACAAGTGCTTTTCATTTTAGGTGACTAAGATGTAAAACTCTGACCTATGATCTCACAGACATATTTGGTACGATGGCTGTTCCTGAAATCATCTCTGGTTTTATTATACATCATTCTATCAACACCTGCTCAATTTCTTCATTTGTGATTTGAAAACCATATGAACCTGCTTGTCTAGTTTTGTAACTGTTTACACTAAATGTTGGACAAAAAAGTGAAATGCTACACATGGTTATATAGGTACCACAGCAATATTGCAGTTGTTCCTTAAATATAACAGATTTGGGGGACTGACCCTAAATTCTTGCCAAAGTAGTGACTGGAGTTCCATCAATCCAAAATCCTACCTAGTGACTAAAACCATCTAAATAATACAAAATGTATAAAACTAAAAGGAGATGAAAAATTAATTGGTACCTTTTTACCTCGTATAATTTTTGGGTAATTTCTATCCAGCAATAATGTTTTTTAAATTGTAACTTCTTGCTTTTTCATATCTTATTTTCCAACATTTCACAGTGTTAGGACATTTTAAATTTAATACCTTATATTTGTGTAACACTCAAACATTTCATTGATCTTCATAACATAGGAAGGGCAGGCATTAGTAATCATTCAGTTATCACCTTGTTGAATGAATGAATGATCATTTGATACACAAAGAATTTGTAGTTTGCAAGGGTACATGACTTGCCAAACACTTGCTGACCAAACTGTCCACTTACAAGTCTAATGGTTTTTATACTATATAGTATTATTTCATAAATATTTACTATAAAAATTTAAAATATAATTTGTTAGCATAGTTCTTTAAAAAGTCAATGTATTATATGCTACATTAATAGATGTTATCTGGGGGATATAGAATTAAATAGTAGTATATAATCTTTCTAATAAAATCATTATCTTAGAGAATTTAACAGGATTTTTAAAATTTTAACATTTTTTTAATTAGTAAGATTCAACAAGTAACTATTCCCTGATTAAACTAAAGACATATCAGCCTATATCAACTTATCCTTTATATATAATTAAAACAAAAGTAGATGTCACTCCCTTAGGCTTCTCCTTGCAATAGGCTCACATATCCTAGGCTTCCTTTTTTGTAACCCTCACTATAATTGCCTGGTATGTCAGCAGCAGCAGTAGCAGCATTACTGTAAGATCTATGAAGGCAGGGATAATGTTTGCTGTGTTACTCTATATCCCCAGTAGGAGAGCATCTGATATAGAGTTGAAGTTAGTTTCCTGTTTGTTTTGTACTTGTGAAGGAAAAAAATATGTAAAACTAAGAATTGGATTAAATAAATAGATCAAGATATTATAACAATTATATTATCATTAAAAGAGGAACTTAAGATTTATTCACTAAGGATTCCCTCTAATTAATAAAAAAAGTAATAAAATAAAAAGCATACATAAATGCACAGTTTCAGCTTTTCTAAAAGTCTGATAAAGGTAAAATTATAATGCTACCACATTAAAATGCTACTATAGGGAACAAAGCATTAATGCTCCTGGGTTCCTATGTAATGAAATTTAAAAACACCTCATTTAGTTTGAGAAGTCTAATTTATTAATTTACCTGTTCTTAACATTGATTTGAGAATTAGAAGGTTGTTTAATATCATCTCCATAAGTAGACCATGGTGCATAGAAAAGTGAAGAATCTACAGAACTTGAATATTCTGTTGATGAAGAAAATGGAGTGCAGGTCTGCCTTGGGTCTACATTGTCTTCACTCTGAAATTTTATAACAAACATTTGCATATCAGACACATAAAGCTTCCCTTATTATAGAATATTAGCAAAATAGTAAGAGTTAGGAGACTTACATTCAAACATAGACTTAGCTACTTCTCTATACCAAAGGTTGTTAAACTTTTTCTATAAAGAGCCAGACAGTAAATATTTTAGGCTATGCAGGCCATTAAAATCTCAGTTCTGCTATTTTAGCACCAAAGCAGCCACAGACCTAAGTGGCTGTGGCTATGTTCCAATAAAACTTTATTTACAAAAACAAACATCAGGAAGGTTTGGCCCCTGGACTATGCTGTTGTTTGCTGATCCCTGTATAAAATGTCTACAATGATTGCAGTTTTAATTTTTTGAGGTGATGAGCATTATGTCGATACTAACAGTGTTATTTTTAATAAGTCATACATTAAACTCAAAGAGCTCTGGTGGCATAGTGGGTAAGGCATTTGGCTGCTAACCAGAAGGTCAGCAGTTCAAATCCACCAGCTGCTCCTGGAAGATAAGGCAATCTACTTCTGTAAAGATTTGCAGCCTTGGAAACCCAATGGGGGTCACTATGAGTCCAAATCAAGTTGATGGCAGTGGTGTTTTTTTGTTTTTTTTTAATACTAAACAGTCTTAACACACCCTATCTGTGAAAGAAAAAAATATATACATTTATATAGCATTTTGCAATTTTCAAATAAAAATTCCACATACATTATCAAATTCACTTAACCTGTGATATGTTGTTGTTGTGTGCCGTCGAGTCAAACCCGACTCATAGCGACCCCTCCTTGAGTTTCCAAGGCAGTATCACTACAGAAATAGGATTGCCCAACCTTCCTTCCGAGGAGTGGCTGGTGAGTTTGAACCGCCAGCCGTCTGGTTAGCAGGCAAGTGTCTTAGCCACTATGCTACCAGAGCTCCTTATCTGTTTTTTGAGAGAAAAGGAAACTGAATCCACAAATTACAGAGATAGTAAAGGAAAAAACTAAAAGCAAATCTCAGGGTCTTCTTACTCCAATCTAGAACCTTTCTTATATATTTTAAATTTTCATCCTAGTTTCTATTTCCAAGAGATATTGTGAAAATCAGATATATAAAATGTTATCCCTCCAAAAATTTTAGATAATACTATAAGTAGAAGAAAGACTCTCTACAAGCATATTTTTCTTTTTTTGTGTGTTAATGCTTCTATAATGAATTTTGTGTAAACAAAAAGTTTGAATTTTAAGATTTTAATAAAACGTGCCTCTTCCAAAAGAGATAGAGGTGCAGCAAAAATACTTTAAAATAGAATGAATTTAACAAACAACAGATCAAACTAATTCAGATTTTGTTTATTCCAGAAATTCCTTCCTTTAAGAAATTAAATATAAGGCAATTTTAGTAGAGATGTAACATTATAGAGAACAGAACACTGGGTCTTGGGAATAAAAAGCTAGGTTCCGGTTGAACTATGCTACTTAGGGCACAAATCAAACTCTCTGAGCCTCAAGTTTCTCTGTCTGTACAGTGGGCATAATATTATACAAAATAAAATTAGTTTACAATATTATTATAACTCAAAGTATAATATCAACATTGATGGCATTGATGGGTGGGGTGAACAATGTGAATGAAAATGATTTAAGTTATCTCAAGCCTAAGGTAATATGATTAATGGAAACTAAATGTTTTAGGTGAGGCAAATCGTAGCATGTTAAGGCCAGAGAATAAAGGAGTAAACTATTTCACCTTTAAATGATCAAAAGTATGTTTATATTGGCTTGGCAATAAATGCCTGAAGGAAAAAAATATTCTATGGTCTTACTAAATAAATATGGAATTTTTTTTACATTTTTGACCTCATGTTATGTTGAGAACGAGATAGAAACAGGAGTCAATGAAAAATCTTATTCTTTACATTATTTTCAAAATAAAATATGTATCCTGCAAACTCTATTTCTGCCACTGTCTTTCTGGTCCTAATCATGGACCAATCTATATGAACCTAAGTGAATTGGCTTCAGTAGATGAATCTGATTTGGAATAAATGCTCTAACGAAGGGTTGTTATCAATGGACCTGAGATTTGTAGCAATCATAGAAAGAAGTGGAGCCAGTCAGCATCACGCTGTTGAAGACGTCTGTTAATCTACTGCTGGTGTCGGCATTGAGGTTCCAGCAGCGATTCACACTTCCACGGAACGCGACTTTCGGCTGCACGACATGGATGGGAAATGGAGAAAGTCAGGAGCGGTGGAAAGCCGAGGCTGCAACGGCCAGACGACGGTTTCCACTAGACTATTGGAGTCCCTCAACTCCCAGTCCTCTCAGAGGGCGCTAACGTGGGGCCCCGCGCTCCGGTCCCGGGAGGCCCTCTCCTCCCGACCATTTGCGGGCGACCCGAGGCGCGGCGCCCGCCAGCCCTGACAGACCCCGCCGCCGGGCATTGCCTCAGCGCCGCCGCGGCCCGACGTGGGAAAAGCGGCGGCTGTCCGCGCATCGCTGCGACACCAGCCCCGGCCGGCGGGCCTTGTCACCCGCACTGCGATAGCCCATACGTGTCAGTGCGGCCCCCGCCCGCCCCCGCTGCGTGGCCCGGGAGGCCGGTCGGAGCTCCTCACGGGCCACCTGACCTCTCCCGCCGGCCCCGGCCTCCTCACAGAGCCGCTTCTGGGCGCGCACCCACTCCTCAGCCTCTTCTCACTGTCGCCATCCTCCAAATATGACCGCCACCGGGCCCTGACCGTCCCCACTAGTTACCTCAAGTCCCTCCCTCAGGCCTGGGGGGATTGAAGGGGTAAGGGGGCGAGCAGGGCGTCTCCGCCTCACCTCCATGGGGCCCCAACCGCTTCTGGGCTAGCTACAGCTTCTGGGATACGGGGGTGAGGAGGGCCGTCGAGGCCCAACTCCCCCTGCCCACACCCCAAGGTGGCCGCCGCCGTCGCCCCGGGCTCTGCCAGGAGCCGGTCTGTGGGGGTGGGGGGCGGAGCGGGGAAGGAGGGGCAGGGGAAGAGGCCGTTACATTGCCTAACCCCCCAACCCCCCACCCCCGCCTCGCGACCCGGCACGCGACCCAGGACCCTCCCACCTCCTCCCGTGAGGCCCGCCCCCCGCTTCGCACCCCCCCATTGGCTCGCTACCTAACCAATGGACAACTGCCTCCAGGTCTGTTACTCACCGGGGAGAGACAGGGCCAAGAGGGCGAGATTAGCAGACCTAACTCTCCTACAGCTTTTGAGCTTTTCCCGCTCAAAGTAAGTATACTTGGGAT